TAGGTAGTTACTCAAATATGTTGGGCTACCTAATGATGTTTTTGCGACCGTTGTGGATGGTTTTGGTTTGGTCATTACTTTCGAATTTATAAGGAAGGAAATTGAATTGCATACGTTTTCGGTTAACTATCCATATCCATATCTTCGACCAATCGAGCTTCGGGGACCGGTTAAGTCGGGCCCGGTTCGGGACCACTGGTTCGCTGCCGCTGATTGCAGGTCACAAAGGCCCCGAGAACTGCACCCAATCGACCATCTATCCAACAACATCAATGGGAAAGGGGGAAATATGTGTACAATTTATATGAAGTATGCAAAAAAAAATTATATGAAAAAAGAAATATTGAAATTATTAATTCACTACCATAATTTAATTAAATGATTAAATTTTAAATTTAAATATGATTATATAATGAAATAAAAAATAATTTTAAATGTTAAAATCTTATATGAATAAATAGGTATGGATCGAAATGGATTGAAATGAATTATATGGGTAATGATTGAAATAGGCTGAAACACATTAAAGTTTTGATTGAGATGGATTCGAGATCGCTTTAAAATTGGAATGAACGACACTGGAAAGACATTGACCACACTACTAATTTCTCAATTTTAGTAAAGCAAGAGAATCAAATTTTAAACAACTAAATTAGAGGGGTTAAATTGTTGATTTCAACAAAGTAGACTGATGGAATTCGAATTATACCAATTTATACAATTGTAGGCTTTTAAGTCCAATTATCACGTGGGCCTGAGATCTGTAGTTAACCGTAGTTTTCAAATTGAAAAGATGAAACAAGTGTAAATTACACTATTTGCTGTCAAATTATTATATCATTTTATTTTGATCATTAAACTATTCTTTTCAATAAAATTGTCATTGAAATATTTTTAGTTGTAATTATCAACCACTAAAAATTTAACGATTATGCTGATGTAGATTTGTTTTATTTATGTAATTTTCTCTCTCATCAGCAATACACATGTTATTTTTTAAAATTTCATTGCACTTAGCCATTAGATTAGATTAAGAGTTCATTAATTTCTACCAAAAATATGAATTTAAGTTAAATTATATAATACGAACTAAGCGACCTCATGGTAAAAGAATTGTTGTAATTTCTTGAGGTCCCGAATACTATGAATGTTAAGGGTGTGAGCGGTGAATGTTAAATGATTAAAAGTTATCTTTAAACACATACTACCTTATACTTACTTTAGATTACAATAAAAAATGTTAAGTTGTACACTACTTATAAAATTATTTTTAAAAAGAATCAAATCAATGACCCTTTGGAGTTAGACAAACACATATAAGTTTATATAGTTTTTCTTTTAATAATAATTTTGCATAATTTTGATGTGATATACAACTTAATTTAGATACTAATTTTGATAAAGATTTAATAAGTTATAAGTTTAGTTCAGTGATGATTTTGCAAAACAAAAAAAACAAAGTTAGGTGATCAAAATAGAAAAGATGCAATAGTTGATGACTAATGGTGTAGTTTCATAGTAAACGACGTCGTGTCTTGCAGCACCGACTTTCCTAATCTTAAAACCTCTATCCCTTCCGCAGTTCTAAAACCCCACTGCAACTCTCTCTATCCTCCCTCCCTCCAATGGCTTTTTCTCTCCTTTCCCTCCCCAAATTTATCGTTCCTCAACCCAACCACATCTCTTTAATAGGCCATCACCGCCACCGCCACCGCCACCGTCGTGTCCATTTTAAACCTCTTCGTCTTCCTTCTCTCCGCCGCCTTCCGGCTATCGGCCCCGACGGAAAGTATTATCCGACTCCCTCTGAAGATGACCCGCCCGAAGCTCCTGAGGACTCCATGCACGGTGTAGACAAGTTTCAGCAAATCCACCGCCAAGCTGCCCGTGCCCGCAAAATCCAAGAAGACGACTTTAACAAGCACAAGTCAAATTACCTTTCTGCCATTGCTGACGTGGACGAAGACGTGTTGAGTAAAAAGAAAGCGGGAAATGACGACGGAGATGATTTGTTCGGCGAAATTGATAAAGCAATTGCCATGAAACGGGAAGAGTTGGTTAAGCAAGGTTTGTTACAACCAGCCCCTAAAAAAAACTGAAGCCGTTGATGACGAGCTGGACGCTGATGAAGTTGTTGACTTGGAAGAAATTGATCAATTACGAGGTTTGACTGTTGTTTCTGATTCGGAAGATGGAGAAAATGAAGATTCCGAGGAAGAATATTCTTCTAAATTCGATGTCGGTTTGAGTGACTCTGAAGGTAAAGAAAGAGCTAATTTGTTTGATCCATCATTTGATATAGACTTAGATAGTTTTGGAAAGAGTAAGGTTAGAATTGTGGAGCCTAAGTTTAAAATGAGTTTAGCTGAGCTTTTAGATGAAAGTAAAGTGGTGCCGGTTTCGGTTAATGGGGATATAGAGGTTGAGATAACAGGGATACAGCATGATTCTAGGTTGGTTACTGCTGGGGATTTGTTTGTTTGTTGTGTTGGGAGAAAAACTGATGGGCATTTGTACTTGAGTGAAGCTGATAAGAGAGGAGCTGTTGCTGTTGTAGCTAGTAAAGAGATTGATATCGAGGATACCTTGGGATGCAAGGCGTTAGTCATTGTTGAGGATACTAATTCAGTTTTGCCTACACTAGCTGCATCATTTTATAGACATCCTTCAAAGAATATGACTGTTATTGGGATCACTGGGACTAACGGCAAGACAACCACATCTTATTTGATAAAAGGGATGTATGAGGCAATGGGTTTGAGGACTGGGATGCTAAGCACGGTTGCCTATTATATTCATGGTGATAATAAGTTGGAATCACCAAATACAACCCCTGACGCTGTTTTGGTTCAGAATCTGATGGCAAAGATGTTGCATAATGGAACTGAAGCTGTTGTCATGGAGGCTTCTTCTCATGGTTTGGCTTTAGGGAGGTGTAATGAGGTTGATTTTGATATTGCAGTGTTTACCAATTTGACTAGGGATCATTTAGATTTCCATGGGACTGAAGAGGAATATAGGGAAGCTAAAGCAAAGTTGTTTGCAAGGATGGTGGATCCTGAGAGGCATAGGAAAGTTGTTAACATTGATGATCCACATGCACCTTTTTTTATTGCTCAAGGTAACCCTGAAGTTCCCGTGGTGACATTTGCAGTGGAGAATAAGAATGCAGATGTTCACCCCCTTAAGTTTGAGTTGTCGCTATTTGAGACTCAGGTCTTGGTTAATACACCACATGGGATATTGGAGATTTCATCAGGTTTGCTCGGAAGGCACAATATCTATAATATTCTAGTGGCTGTGGCTGTTGGGATTGCAGTTGGGGCACCTTTGGAGGACATTGTTAGAGGGATTGAAGAGGTTGATGCTGTTCCAGGAAGGTGTGAGTTAATAGATGAGGAGCAAGCATTTGGAGTCATTGTGGACTATGCCCACACTCCTGATGCCTTATCTAGACTGCTAGACTCTGTAAGAGAGCTAGCACCAAAAAGGATTATTACTGGTATGCTTGTTATGATTTTCCTTTTAACTCCTACTTCACATGAAAATCATGCTTCCTCCTAATTGAATATCACTACCATTTTTTAACCTATGAATTATTTTGTTTCTGAAGTTATTGGTTGCTCTGGGGAGAGTGACCGGGGAAAAAGACCAATGATGGCGAAAATTGCAACAGATAAAAGTGAAGTGACTCTCCTGACATCTGATAATCCAAAGAGTGAAGATCCATGTAAGTATAAGAAAATGGTACAATTATCATGAGCTGCAATGGCAGTTGCTTAGAAACACAAATCAAATTATTTATGTGTTTCATCTTTTGAACAGTGGATATATTGGACGACATGTTAGCTGGCGTGGGGTGGACAATGCAAGATTATTTGAAATATGGAGAAAATGATTACTATCCACCTCTCCCTAATGGTCATCGACTTTTTTTGCATGATATTAGGCGGGTAGCTGTACGTTGTGCTGTTGCCATGGGAGAAGAAGGCGATATGGTTGTAAGTTTTTGAAAGCTTGGGTTGCTTTTTGGAAGTGAACTGATTTGCTTCTATATACCTAGAAAACCCACATCTTCATGGGTATAGTTATGTTTTTCTAAATGAGCATTTTATGTTTCTGCAATAGACCTAATGTAACTTCAGTGCTCACACACCACAAATGAGGTGCACTGCCTACATAAAATTTGTTGAAAATTTAAATTAGTTATTTCGAATAGGTTTCTTCTTGAACTTTAAGAGTTTTGACTTTGGAGAATAAACCACACACACACACATACATATATTTATATATTCCTCCCATTATGCTTCCTCATTTATGCTCATTCATTCTTTGGATCGTGGGGATTTATTTCATATAAGGTGAGTCATCCCCTTCTCTTGTTTGTGCACCAGGCTTGAATTTTCATGGGTTAATTATGTAGTCCTCGCCTCTTCTCCACGCTTCTTTTCTGCTCATGATAAGTATGTTTGCTAATTTGGTGCTGTGTGTTGCAGGTGGTTGCTGGCAAAGGCCATGAAACATATCAGATTGAAGGTGACAAAAAAGAGTTATTTGATGACCGTGAGGAATGCCGGGAAGCATTGCAATATGTTGATGAACTCCACCAAGCAGGAATAGACACCAGTGAATTCCCATGGCGGTAGGTTCATTCTCCGTTAGTTCTGCTTAATTGTTGGAAAATACTTGTGCAGCGATCAGTATGATGGCTTTTTTCTGAACAATTTGCTATGTGGAAATGATTATCGTGTTTGGTGAATTGTTAGGATCATGTCTTTGTTAAATGTGATGCCATGAACAATCCAAGCAAAACGAAACGGAAGAAAAGCATGATATCGCATGATTTTATTTGATAAAGCTATGATATTAATGTTTCTTTCACCTGTGTGCAGGTTGCCAGAGTCTCATTAATTTCCACGAGTGTACAGATAACTTGATGTTAATACCACGGGAGGGAATAGTATACCTCTAGGTCAAAATTCTGCACTTTGGCCCCTACTGGAAAACATGATACTGCTGCTATTCTGGTGCAGGAACTCATTGTTTGATGAGGGCATGAGTTGACAGAGTCATTGCAAAATAGAGATCAGTAAGAACTCCACCTTACATTCTTATAGTTGTATATGTAGCTTCCTTGAAGTTTAATTGGACTCCTTTTGCATGTTAGTTTTGAGTTAGTCCTAAATTTTCTTTAGTGTCGATCAATCGCTTTTAAAGCAGTAGACCAGTGAGCATGGAGTTGATTGTACTGTCTGCCTAGAAGCAGAATTTGGTTAATTTCTAGTTTTTCAGTTGTAACTCTAATTTCTTCTTTCTTTTATTCCTAAATAAGTTTTTCTTGATTTAGACTTTTTCAATCCAGGTCTGGCCAGTTTCGATGTCATTCAAAACCCTTCTTTGGCGTGCCCTTTAACAGAGATGAATTTACGCTTTTGTATGCCAAATGACTATTTTGTGTGTATATGTAAAATAACTATCCTGAAATTGTGTAATGATGACATATTCTGATTAGTGTTACAGATTAGTAGTGCATCATGTTGTTTAATAATCTGATGGAAAAATCTATAAAAGATGGGTTTCTTAATGGTTTGATGTTATTCGTGTTGTCGATTGTTTAGTCTAATTTAGAGAAATCTGTAGTTGTTTCTCGTTGTGTAAGGGTAATCTTGGATTCATTTGTTAGAAGAACAAAATAAGAATTAGTCTAAGGTTTGTAGACAAAATCATACATGGCATGGTAAACTATTTATTATTAAATCTTCATTTAGTCTCATGGCCGTGGGATGAGCCAAATCTTTAAGGAAGATACGGAGTTGGAATACTTATGTGTTGCGTTACAAGTAAATGTACTTGAATTTTGTTATGTAAACTCCTATTTGGCTTGATGCAATCATCCTCCTTAACTCTTAAGATGATATTTGAGCTTATCATTTATCCTTCTCTTAATTAGCTAAATAAATAGAGAGCCATGATTAGAAGATAATCAAAGCAAATTCTCCTTGTTAATGGAAAATAGTTGCATATTTGAGAAGGAAATTAAAACCATTACCATCTATAAAATCGCCATGAATACAAGAAAAGAAAAATCTGGCAAGTTCTGTAAAAGGAAATTCATCCAAAACTAGGGCTCAAAGAACCATCACGGACTATACTTATGGTAAGGCAAATCTTTCATTTCACAACAAATCAAAACCAATATAGAAAATTTGGAGGAAATCCAAAACAGGAAAACAAGCCAGCTGCAGCCCTTCATTTTGATCGCTTAAAAGCTTAAATATGTTCTTTGTTTAAGACATAGTGAATGAACCATCCCTATCGAATCGATTCTGTGTTTTTGACTCGACTGATATATGGTGAGAACACAAATCTTCTACTCTAAATATATTCATTCTTCGACTCGTCTGTTTTGAAATCCTTATCAAAGTTTTTCTTTGTTAGCTTCTCCATATTATATTATTCTGCCCTGTAAAACTAGGTACTTATTAGTCTGTCAAGAACTGACTTTAACAACTCCATTTGTTCTGTCCTGTCAGAATTTGAACAGGGATACCTGTTTTTACTCGCATGGTCATATGATTGATATTTGTTCAACTTTTGTGCTATTACTAGATTGTTTTCCCCATTTGAATGAACATAGTTTGAACAAGGTATCTGTCAATATTCAGTTTGTAGTGATGCCACTAGCATAAATGGGAGAATTTGGATTTCGGCAGCGTTGGGAGTTCAGGAGGAACGATGAAAACGACCTCGATTCTTCATTCAATGATTCGATATCGAGCGACGGGTCGCTTATCAGAAAGAAGAAGCTGGTATCGAGACTGATTTCACTTGGTGATGATGAAAATAGTGAAGGCAGTAGACTTAAGCAGAAGGAAGATGAGAAACCTGGAAAAGCAGGTCAAATTAACGTCCGGAAAGCTAAGAAACGGACAGCCAGGAATAAGAGCTGCAGCAAAATGAAGAAGGATTCGCCTGAAGAAGTTGATTTGCAGAAGGGTGAAACAAGTGCTCAGGATCACGCTCCACTGGATGAACTTAAAAACTTTATGGAGTGCTTGTTAAAGGACCTTAAAGTTACAAGAGAAAGTTTATTGAAATGGATGATAGATGAAGTGCAACAGTTGGTGGGTGATCTAAGGAGAAAACCTGGTCAGGGTGATGAGAAGGTCCAGTTGCCGAAAAGAAAAAAATCTAGCAAAGATCAACACGGGAAAACCCACACGGAAAACATGCAATCTCATCGATCGAGTAACTCCGATAAATGTATCCAAGTCCAATGCCATACAGACTTACAACAGCAGAACAACACTCTGGAGAAAATCAAACAGCAGGTGCCCATTCAAGACAATGAGAACAATAACTTGCAGCACAAGAATGACTTCGGATACGGCATGGATAGATCTTTAGTTAGATTCCCTACAGGTTTTACTGCTCCTGCTTCTACTGGTTACTTAAATCCATTAGGAGATCAACTTGGCTCCGGACAATTTGTTGAGCTTATTACTTCATCAAACGGGAAAGGAGATAGCTTGTCAATGGCTGCAAAACCAAGTCATCAAACAAGTGATGCCGGTCAAAATGTTCAAGCCAAGAGTAATACCAGTGTTGTTTTAGCTATAGAAGCTCAAAAACCCAAGGGTGGGTCTATAAAGAGAAGTGCAAAAGGCAAGAAAACTGTTGATCTCGGAGATCACCATCAAGTTCCCAAAGATCAAGCCGGTCATGGCCAGGCCATTAGAACGGCAGGAGCCAGTACTAATGTAGAAGAGCTTGGATCATCTGTTCAAAATTTACTATCTAGTCCCTTTGGTCAGGTACCTTGGTCAATGTATCCGATGTTACCAACTTTTCTAACTGATCAAATAGCAGCAAATCAAAGGCCTGATGCATTATTAAACAACTATGTTCTACCAAGATCCGCGGAGACGAAAAGCTGTATGAATGCAGAAAGAGTGAATCAAATGCTGGAACCAGGTTCTAGTCGAGGATCATTTCCAGTCATCTCACCAGAAGAAACCATTAGAAGATTTGCATTAACGGGATCGAGAAATATGGACCGCATTAATCCAAAAAGCACCCCGAGTTCTTCTGGCATCGGAACTGGATTTCCTTTCCCACTTCACCAAGGTATAGATTTTGGTTTAAGCATTCCAAATCCAAGACAATTCAATCCACAAAATCTTCCACAGGAAACTGGCAAACCACTGGGTTTGAAGATGAATGGAGGAGCTGCTAAGGTCTCTGGTGGAAGCTATAACTTATCAGAACATATTACTGCAAACAATCACCATGGCAATCCAACTTACAAGTCTGACGGCCGACTCTCGTCATATCAGATGCAAAACCTTAAAGACGGTCATCTTTTCCTGCAGTAATAATTTTAGTTCGAGCAGTTGGAACAAAGTCCCTTGTCAAAACTATTTAGGCAAATAGATTTCAATTCCATGATGTTCATCGAAAGTGTGATCCTTTTTTCTTTTCTGTCGCATTTGATCTAATATAAACCTGAATCTGTTCATCTTTCAGAACACTTTGTTAAACATTGCAGCTGCGAACTGGGGTTTCGTCTAATTTGGATGATAAACCTAAATGCTTTTTCTTTCATCTTCTGGAATTGAAATGAAGAAAGCTCGAAGGCCTCATGCTCAACATTCTCACATATTCTCAAGGTAGGGTTGAGGCTCTAAACACTTTTCTGGGAAATAATCAATACCTTAATTAAGTGTTGGGGTCGTTACAACTAAAAATTGCAACTTCTTGTTTGACGTTTTATTTCAATCTCTCACCAAATTTGAAGGCTTAATTATGTGGACCATTTATTAGTTTCATATTTAGTACTTTGATCCACTATTATCATATTAAAAAATTATTTCTTGACATGTAGGGTAGGGATAATAAACAACGATTCATGTGAATATGCCAGTATTTATTATTATTATTTCACTTGTAAAAATAATTTAGAAATAACTTATAATAAGCGTTTATATCATCATGTATACAAATTTTCACTGGAATTCAAGCATATCCATTTCCCCCAACTTTGCATGCTTTGTCCAGGACAGACTTCAGATTTCTTGGCTGCACCTCCATCATCAGTCCATATTTCATGAACAGTGTTAGTGACATCTTCTGCTCTACTCGGTGTCCGGCTGCCACGGTAAGTCGGTGTCGGAGCAGCACTGCCGCAGCTATCGATTTCATCTGAAGATAAGCTAAATCTTTCCCTAAACAAATTCGAGGCCCGGCGTTGAATGAAACAAATCTATATGGATCTTTGGGCTCGAACTTCTTGCCGTCTTTGGATAGCCACCTTTCTGGTTTGAATTCCAAGCAATCTTCACCCCATATGAATTTCATTCTGCCGACTGAATATATTGAGTATGTGACGTTTGATCCAGCAGGGACGAATGTCCCGTTAGGCAAGACGTCATCGGCTATTACATGCTTTGAGTCTTGTGGTACGGAAGGGTAGAGTCTTAATGTCTCGGATAATGCTGCCTTGAGGTATATCAATCGGTCAACTTCTTCGAACACAAGGGGTTCGTCTACCCATTTGGAGGTGTCAGCACCACGTGTCTCCATCAGAACGGTGGAAATTTCGGCGACGATCTTCTCTTCAACCCTCGGATTTTGACTGACAAACCAGAAGAACCAGCATAGCGCAACCGATGATGTGTCACGTCCAGCTAGGATGAAATTCAATGCCACGTGTTGGAGGAATTCATCCGAGTAGGATTCCTTCTTTCTCATGAAACGAGATAACAAGTCATCGTGTGGGGTCTCAGCTTGATGCTGACTCACCAATTCAAGCTTACGTGTATTAATGATTTCGGACAAGTATTTATCCATGTGGTCCAGGCTTTGGCTCAACGTGACTTCCATCCCGAGCCCAAACCATTTTTTCAGCTTCCATATGATTTCGGGCAAAATAAACCGTTGGAGCGTGGCTTCCGTGGCTCGATCGAAAGCCGATGCGAAGCCGTTCTCGGGAAGTCCCGGCGATATCGTCTGTGGATCCTTGCCGAATGTCAAGCCACATATGTTGTCGAAAGTGAGCCGAAGCAATAGGTCTTGAAAATCAACCGGCTTTCGTTGAAGTTGAGCCGATTCAAGAATCGGGCAAAATCTATACTTGATGGCCCGGCTAACCCACCGCGACATGGCTTGACGCAACGTCCTGGTGGTAAATTCCAACGCGGCAGTCTTACGCTGGAACAGCCACGTGTCACCATCCGAATTGAAGATCCCGTCACCAAGCAAATCATGGAAAACGGATTGCCAGTTAGGCCCCTTGGGATAATTATCGAACCGGCCCTTCAGAATATGCTCCAAGTTCTTGGGATCACACGTGACAGTCACGAGACCTTGCTTCCGAGCCAAAAATGGAATCGCGGCGATGCATGTCTGGTACGTGCCTTCACACGCGCGGAGGTTGTCCGCGATCCACTCATGCATGGAGTTTGAGTTCTCGATCAGCCCCGGAAGACTGCCCAACAAAGGCCAGACACGGGGACCGTTGAGTGACCGGACGATGAACCTGAACCAGACTAAATAAGCCACTAGGGCTGATATGATCATAAAAGCCGCTGATGCATCCATTTGATCAGCGATGAACTTGAACCAGACTAAAGAAGAAGGCTATGAGTGAAGGGAAAAGAAAGAAGAGAAAAGAGTTATATAGAAAAGCAAAGCATGCAATTAATAAGGACGGCCAAATTCGTTGAGAATATATCTCTCCGTCCCTTTCTTTCTTTCTTTCAAACTGAGTCCACTTTTTTTATGAGTGCATGGACCTGATTAACTCAGCTTCCTAATACTAACACATTGCCATTACTGGCCGACTCAGGTCGTTGAGGAAAAGCAAAAACCCAGGTCTCCAGGTCACTCGAGCTTGCAACAATTAAACAATTAAATATTCCCCCAGTGGCATTAATAAAGAAATAAATTCATTTTATTATTTATTTTGAAGGAAGTTTATTTTTTTTTATTTGTAAATGACGTGTCTCCAGGAAGAAAGGGCTCACCCAATTTCAAGTGATTTGCATATTTTTTACTTCTTTATTATACTTTTTTTTTTTTATTTGATATAAATTTTACTGAATTATTAATTAAAGTCTATCTATAGACTTCAATTAAAATAATACAGACTTCCATTCAGTAGTTTTAATTATTATAAAATTATTACTGTCATCATCCAATTGTTCAAAAGTTTAGTATCACATGTGAAAGATGTATTCAAAATGCATCCAAGTGTTGGAGTGTAGTCGTATTTTTAAAATTTTAAATTTGTATACAATTTAAATATTTTTTTATAGTTTTTATTAATAATTTAATTTTGTATTTCTAAAATTTTATGATAGGATTAATTGCTTAATCGATGACTTTATATGTGTGTTGTTTGAATGATTCGATCCTAAGGTTTTACCTCGACTGATCCGGATCGATCCGAGTCGCATATCCAGTTTTGGCGGGTGAATTTCTCAATGAGAATTTTCTGTATACACAAGAAATCAAATTCGAGACTTTACTTAATATATATCAAATTGCTTACCACTTGAATCAACCCCATTAGTATAATACATATGTTATGTTATTTATTTTGTTATATAAAATTTAAGTCAGGCGTGGCTCCTCTACTCTACGACCAGGGCGTACCTAAGGTTCAATTGAGATTTATATAGGAATTTACGGATTGTCCACCAAGAGTGATGATGGTAAAATTCAAACTTGACCTTATAAGCTTACATCCTGAATTTCAACCCCTTGTACCAACACTCCTCCTCTAACAAAGATGTTATTACTAACCCACTTGATCGATGTTTAGTTTATGATTTTAATGTGACCAACTGGCCTCCCTAGAAGACAGAATAGCGCAGCCAGCTGTTTATATTGAAACACAATATAAAATTATCAAAAATAAGCAAAACAGATCGGATATAAAATAAAGTATTTTAAAGAGATAAACAGTTAATCGTGAAATATACTTTATCCTTATAAATGGATCGAATTTCAGTATCATAATTAGGGATGGGAATTGGACCCGAATACGACGGGTTACGACCCGACCCGATCGGGTCGAGTTTTAAAAAATTAAATTCGGGTTGGGTTTTTTAATTATGATGTTCGGGTCAGGTTCGGACTTATGGTGAAAAATATCTGATCCGGAAAAAAATATAATTTTACCTTATATATTTAGAAATAATGACAATAATATCCCTCTATACATTATTTTTTTAATTAAGTTACTGTTTTTTATTGAATAAAAATAATATCTTTATTATTATTTTGGGTCGGGTCAGGTTTCTAAGTTATATATCAGGTCGGGTTCAGTTCGGGTGAAATCTTATTTTGGTCGGGTCGGGTCTGGTCTCGGGTGGAAGATTCCTTGTTCTCGGGTCAAATCGGGTAGACCAAAAACCCGATCCATACCCATCCCTACTCATGATTAAGGATGAGTGAACATCCACTACATCAAATTAATCTAAATATTATTATTTTATTTAATTGAAAAGTATGAAATGGAATTATTTTTAGACCAAAGAAGAAAAATGGCATGTAAAAGGAAAAATGATGGTAATGAAGAAATTGTAGCAAAGGTGTAAGGTTTGAGGGCTTAAATGGGGGCAATCATTGGGGGTGCATAAACTCAACTAAAACGCCATACCAGCATTTAATGTAACATACCAGCATTTAATGTAACACAGGCCCAGCCATTTGGACCAGGCAAGGCAATGACATGTTGGTTTGCAGGTGCAACTTCAAAACGTGGAAACCAACCCACGGCAAAGTCATGCAAGTGAAGTACTTGAATTTTATGTTTTAGGACGAATTTAAATTTATAAATTTTAAGAGAATAAATTTAATTTACAAAGTTATAGAGAATGAAAACAGATTTTTAATAAAAATATATAAAAATTTAAAATATACAATAATCTTAAACTTTAAAAAAAACGACCGCCCGTCTAGATCCCTCTAATGAAGGAGACTTTGGGTTGCACCGACTGTCCACAAAAGTCTGCAATTTACAAAGTCAAAGGAAAACCTGAATCCACAGCTCTTAAACTCCCAATTAATCCACAGCTCCCACCCCTCCTATTGATTTCCAACTCATTATAGTTGCCAGTATAATTTTATTTAATTTTATATTAAAATTTTATAATTTTAATAATTTTAATGAAAAAAGGAGATATATACATAAATTTTCAGGAACATAGTTAAATCTGTATTTCTCTAAAAGTATTCATATATAAAAAATAATACTGAAAAATAACATATTTATCCACCAAAGATTATAATATTATTTTATATATAAAAATATCATGCTTATGAAAATTATTTAAAAATATAAATTTGATAAACTAATTATATTAAGGTTTAATATAAAAAATAAGGACCTAAACTGTTGAAAACATTTTGATGTTTCAATATAACAAATTAAGTTAAATGAATTTTAAGATTTTACAAAAGATTTTTTAAGTATATTCGATTTAATTATTCGAATATCAAAATATTACTCTAAGTCTTTCAAAGTTCATTTTAATCCTTACTAAAGTGTAAAATTGTGTTTTTATACTTAAACTATTTTAAAACAATTTTACAAAGTATTTCGAGCCTTAATCGAGCCAAAAATATTTTCATTTTAAAGGGTTTCAAGAAAAATCAAATTGTCCAGGGGGTACAGATTCCCCCCAGGGGGAACAGATTCCCCCATGTTTATTGGTCGAAAATAGATTGCACTTAGGGAACCGATTCCCCATGAGGGGATACCGATTCCCCCCACGCTCCAAGCTGTTTTATTAATTGTTTCTCATCTCCAAACGGCTCCAAAACATCCCTAACGGCTATATACGACTTCAAACACATTCCAAGCTATAAATACAACCTAAGAACACTTGAAGAAGCAAGAGAACAACTATCCAAGCAATCAAACACAAGAGAAGAGTTTTTCAATCTTATTTCATCTTTCTCTTATAAATATTTTGTTCTTGTGAGCTCAATATTGTAAAAACCTACCTTAGAGAAGTTTTATTGTTTACATTTTTTATCCTTTTGTAAAGGGGAAAGGTTCTAACTTAGCCCGTGTAAAAGCTAGGGAAAGGTTCTAGTTTAACCCAGAAAAACTAGGGAGTTTGTAAGGTTACTCTTTATCCTCAAAAGAAAGAACAAATTAGTGAATTTGTTGGAAAATCCTTGGTGAGGAGCTAAGGTAGTGGACGTAGACTTTGGTTGAGAAAGTTGAACCACTTTAAATCGCTGTGCAATTTTCTATCTTTCAATCTCCTTACTCTCTAAACACAAAACCGTTCCGACCCCTCTTTGCAAACCGTTCCGGTTGTCGATTCGAGCTTCCGAAAATCCTAACAATTGGCATCAGAGCCTAACTCATTAAGAAGGTTTAACCACCTTGAGACGATCCTAGAAGAAGCTCTACCAATTCCCGACGCAACCGACAAAGAAATGACTTTTTCCTCCGGTACTTATTATCTTGAAGAATATCCTATTATAGATTCATAACCGGTCAACAAGCCACCCTTGTTCAATGGAGCAAATTATCCACATTGGAAGAATAAGATGATGTACTTCATTCAATCATACAATCTAAGAGCTTGGTACTCAATCATGGACAATTACTCCTCTCCACCCGGCAAGTACAACGATTAGAGTAGAGAAGAGCAGAAAAATTTTCAGCTTAATTCTAAGGTTATACATATTCTATTTTGTGCTTTAGGCCCAAATGAATATTGGAGAGTCTCATCTTGTTCCAGTGCCAAAGAGATTTGGGATAAGCTCCAAGTCACTCATGAAGGAACCGACGAAGTGAGGGAATCAAAGAAAAGTCTTCTCAAGCATAGCTACGAGAACTTCAAGATGAAACCCGATGAAGACATCAAAGCTATGATAGATAGATTTTCCGTGATTGTCAATGGTCTCAAGGGATATGGAGAAGTAATCCCAAATGAGAAGCTTGTGAGGAAGATGATTTAGTCTCTTCCAAAAGAGTGACAATCAAAGAAGACGGCCATTATCGAAGCAAGAAACCTAAAGTCTCTCACTCTCGATGAGCTAATTGGTTCCCTTCTCACTCATGAGATACTGGTGAAGGAAGATGAAGAAAGGGAAGAGAAGAGAAGAAAAACAAGAAGAAGAAGAAGAAGAAGAAGAAGAATGAGGACGTAGGCATCAATGAAAGCTATCAAGATTCAAGTGATGAGGTGGATGAAGACGATGATGAACAAAAAGAAGAGATGATCAAGCTCTTGAAGGAACTCAAGAGATTCATGATTTCCAAGGAAGTGAAACATGAATCAACCAAGAAGAAGAGTCCCCCGGTATGCTTCGATTGTCAAAGAAAGGGGCATGTCATGTTTAAATGTCCTCTTCTAAAGAAAAAGGGGAAGAAGGCATTTATTGCATCTTGGAGTGATGAAGATGATTCCAATGATGAAGATGAAGTAGTCAACCTATGCCTCATGACCACTCAAGAAGAATTCGAGGTATCTTCTAACTCAAATGAATTTAATTCATTTACTTTTGATGAGTTACAAGATGCTTATAATATGTTGTATTTGGGATTTAAGACCATGAATTCCAAATAAACGAAATTAATTTCAAAACTCAAAAATAA